CCCCCCCCCCCTCTCCCTAACCTAATGTCACGTGCCCCTCTTACACCCTCCCTTCATCTCAACCTCTATACTAGTGTATCAATATTTGGTACCACCGCCCTCAAACAATCTTGTATATTCATTATGACTCATTATTCCCAAGCAAGAGAAAACCTTAATCTGAATCAGGTACATTTTCTAATGGAAGTTGATATTCAGTGAGGTCCTAAGGAAGCGCTTGTGGACACAAATTCACGTCTCAAACAAATTCCACGATTCTCGGTTTGATGATCGACCTCGATAAACCCACTACGCTACTCCCCAATCTTTTACAAAACTTATCGGTATGATAGATAAAACGGCAATCCTTCTACAACAATCCACCTTCCCAAGAACGAAACTTTCTGCGAATATCATTCGTTTCAAGACTCCACCTTTGCTGCTTCACCATAATTGACTCCTCAAGGAGGTACTTTCTATCCCTACAAATTTTGTATACATCTTTTGCCATCTTTACGGAAGAAACTTGTTTTATTAGTTTGAAAAACACTCAATTTACATCAAAACAAGATTTCTCTAATGCAAACCACTACATTTTTTCATTTTTCTTCTTCCCTTGAAAATATTTCATCAACCAAAAGCCTTTTTGAACAATTTTCAATGTTCCCGCCTACTCTCAATCCTCTCCTTGTTTCCACCTCATGAAACTGTTACGACCATGTACAAAGTCACCAAGCATCCATCCAAAACCTCCCTATCCCTCCATATTGGCCTCCTCTAGGATAATGAGACCTTTTCTCCGGCCATTATTTGTCAATTCGGAGATTATAATGAAATTTTCAACATGGCTGGCCTCCACTTCAACACAAACACAATTTCTTCCCTCCCTCAATTCCCCAAAGAAAGCACTTTAACCAATCCATTCCAAGATTTGAGAAAATACATCATTTAACCAAAGGCCACTATCATGGCTAAAACAGCAATAAAAAGACCTAATCTATTCCACTCCATGATTCAAATTGAATGGTATTAGATCCCTCAAAATCAACAGAGAACCTTTGTTGCTCTATCCTAAACTCAGACCTATGAAGTTTTCCAAAAATACTCCTTAATCCTTATGATTATTTGTGTCACCCGCAGGGTTATTCAAAATCTTAAGGGTGAGTTTGGCACACATATTAGATGGCCTTCTAGGACCAAGAAATTCATTTGCAGAAGTTTGGATTGTTTGGTGGCTCAAATTTTTTATTTTTTTAAAATAGCAAGAGTTAAGTCCATTACTATCCTTAATTTTTGCCACCTAATATCTATTTTACCCCTATAATAGAAATAATGGCCAATGTGTACACCAAATACATCAGTAAATTAAACCGAAATACTAATTTACCATGTTGCATTATAATGTGGTTTTATTCTTGAATTTTTGATTCACGAGTCATGCGGGTCAACCTATTTGATTAATCGTGTTAGATGTCTTGACATTAATCACACCTATTATTGTATCGTGTTCGGTTGACCCGCATGACTCGTGAATCAAAAATTCAAGAATAAAACCGCATTATAACGCAAACATCCAATATTTTAACCTCCAAACATATTTTATGTTTATAGATGCACTTCTTAACAAAAGCACTTTAAAAATAAACAATTACCAAACATCCAGTATTTTGCGAAAGTCCATTCTATAACGTCCATTTTATAAAGTACATTTCTGAGGTGGACTTTTCCTATAAGAAGTTATTCCAAAAATGCAACCTAAATCTCATGATTCATCTTCTACCAGTCACTCTTTCTTTTGAAACACTAAACATTTATATGAATACTCATAGTATTCTGAATAACAGCATGTACGCTTAGGGATGTAATTTCCATCCATATAAATGAGAAGTAATATTTTTATTACTGAATCTCCAAGAATGCTTTATATTAATGCCAATTTTATGTTATCAGATGGCCAGGAAACAACAAAACCTCATTAGAACCAAAGACACCACACAAGTTAATTTTTAGACAATATCTTGAAACTTTCTTTCTACTCAAATATAGCTAAAGCGTAAATGGTATTGCTACTCACCTGCCCATAAGACAGTTGCTTTCTTTCCCTCAACGCAGTTCTCTCCAGCTACATCTCTGCATGTTATACTAAGACTCATCCTGATCTTTTCCCGGGTATTATTTCGAACTAGAACTTCCATTGGAGTCATATCATGTGCCAGCACAAATCCTTTAGATGCATGAGAGTGAACTTGAATATCTGATTCTTTTGGTGAATCAAGTTTCACAGCATCTCTTGAATAGTCTTTAGCAAGCCTAAAGCCAAAGGTCAATGGATCTGGCAGCAGCACATCCATCACGGATGTTTGAAGGGCAGCCTGTATTGCATCTTTGATATTTAATTCTCCAGAGCTGTTCCGTCCAGATTGCCACCTGACCTTAATTCTGGAAATTAAGTTCCTGATAGAAGCATTCAGTTCAGCTTTGGTATTCTTCTCTGAGAAGCTTGAACTTCTACTATTGGTAGCCCCATTCGTCTGGTAATCCTTCGCAAGAAAGGAACCATCAAGAACGGGTAACTTGAAATGTTCCAGTGGTATCAGTACCCTAGCAGTGTAATCCCTGTCTATTCTCGTTTTTGGATAACCGAATTCAGCAGCACCACAATCAACAGAAGGGCCAACGTCATTACCAGAGTTCTCCAGCTGGACGGAAACACCAATCTCGAACACAACATCAGTTGGATTAGACAACTCGAGTTCAAGAAAGCGTAGTCCCCAACTTCCTCTGTAAGGATCAATTTTCACCAATCTATCAGTCTGACTTTCAGAACCATTAAGCTCTGCAGTTGATCCACTCTCCACATGAACTGCTTTGTGTGGATTATCACCCACATGTGCAGGAATTTCCATCGACAGCAAACGGGCCTTCACAAAAGACAAGCCCTGAAGAACACAGATGTTCAAGGGAACAACCAAGCGTCTACCAGGGGGCACGGCAAACCCATTTGTCATTGTCTCTCCAGAATTTTTCAATGGACCTGATGGGGAAAAAAGATAATAAGAAGTTTAGCTGAATAGTTTTCAGCAGTCCAAGTCATGAAATAAAGGAATTCATAAAGCTTCAAAAGCCAAAAGTCATTATCACAACAGATCATGAAGTGGTCACAAGTCATGGCATTTCTAAAGATCAACATTACCAGATGGGTGGCACGAATATGCATGTGCTCCCCACCTCAAAAAAAAAAAAATCTTCATTCCAGTTGCCACCTATTTCCTTGGGTTTTTATGATAGTTATCATCAGTTACTTTAGAGAGAACTATGTCAAAGTATGGGTGGTGTGACAGAATTCCCATTCGTGGAACTAACTTGTCCCCAAGCTGTGAGCATGTCTGATGAATACCTTTTCAAATTTGGAAAGCATCATAAAACACGGACATATTGGTAGAAAGGAAATCTGCAAATGCAATGACATATTATGAAGGAAGATGCATTTGTAAAGAGAGTTTGTATCTCACATCAAATAATTACGACCACCCTAAGTTAGTTTATATACTTGAGGGGCCACTTCGTTCATTGTCAATTAATTTTGAATTTGATGCTGAAAGGGCTGGTCAATGGACCAAGTCTCTTTACACATTTGAATTCCAATTATGCATGGTTGGTTGGTTATTTGTTTGATAGTCCCACATACTAAGTTTAAAGATTTAACATAATATTAGAGAAAGACGGAGAGTGGTCAAAAACTTGACCTATATCTCACAAACCACTTATATTTATATTTAACTCGTAACCATATAAAAGACGTGTATACCCTCTAGTAGTATACTTATTACAACTAACTAATATTTACATAATGCCCTAACACTCTTAACACTCCCCCTCAAGCTGAACTATATATATATATATAGATAGATAATCCAAGTTTGGAACAAATGGTTGTAAGACGTGTACGACTCAATACTTTGATAAACATATCCACAAGTTAATCCTCAGATCTCACAAATGGAGTCGTAATATCTCCAGTTACTATCTTGTCTCGAATAAAATGACAATCAACCTCAATATGTTTGGTTCTCTCATAAAAGACTAGATTAGCAACAATATGAATAGCTGTCTGATCATCACAAAACAACTGTAAAGGAGATTGAACTAGAAAGCCAATTACCTGAAGAAAGTGTAATAGCCACATCAACTCACTGGTTGTATGTGTCATTGCTCTATACTCAGCCTCAACACTAGACCTTGCTACCACAGTTTGTTTCTTACTCTTCCATGAGACAATGTTACCTCCTAAGAAAGTACAATAAATAGTAGTTGACCTCCGATCAGAAGGAGAGTCTGCCCAATCAGCATCTGTAAAACCTTCCACTCTAAGATGACCATTAACACGATATAACAGCCCAAAACCAGGAGTATGCTTGAGATATCGCAGAATACGAGTAAGTGCCTCCCAATGTGGTACTCTAGGGTAACCCATAAACTGGCTTACAATTAGGGATGTCAATGGACCGGGGGAAAACGGGTATTCATCCAAACCTGTCTACTTTGGACTGGGGATGGACTATACGTATTAGACTATGGACGTATACAGGGATACCCGTATAAACCCGTGCGGGGATGAAGGCGGGGATGGACTTACCCTTACCCCCGCCCCGCCCCGCCTCGCCTCGCTCCCGTCCCCGCTATACCCGTTAAATATATATATCAGTTGTCACTGGTCTCCTTTTCCTCTATTAGTCGTCACTAGTCTGCCTCCATCAAGACCTCTCTCTCAGTTAAAAAGAAATGACATATGTATGAATAATTATTACGCGGGGATGGTGTTTACCTTAAGTGAAAACCTCTAAACATGGCCAAGGTTGAAAGGATTGTGTTGGTCACCATAGGTGAAGGCCCCACATCACTAATTGTGGTCGAAGGCATTTGGTGCAAGCCCCAACAACAATGTGTCATTCAGTAATGCCCTTACACTTGGATAATAATTTTGGTAAAGTGGAATTTGTTATGTTGAATTATATCAAATTCAAGTAATTTTTTGGACCTTTGTTGTTTGTGTTATGTTGGAATATGTTATGTTACATTATGTTGTGTTACATTATGTTAGATTATTTAAAATGTTGTTGGATTATTTAAAATGTTTGATTTATTTAGAATTTTGGATTATGTTGATTTGAACTTGGGCTTGGGCTTGGGCTTGGGCGGGTACAAGGGAAGCGGGGACGGGGATTGAAAATTTACCCGCGGACGGGGATGGGGATGAAAATTATTTCCGTTAACGGGGGTGGACCGAGGATGGACAAAGATTTTTTAAGCGGGTACGGGGATGAAGACTATACCCCCGCCCCCGCTTCGATCCATTGACGTCCCTACTTACAATACTAACTGTATAGGAAATATCCGGTCGAATAATAGTAAAATAATTGAGTTTCCCAACCAACCGGCGATACCGACCTAGATTCTCAAACAGTGCACCATCATCCATCAACAAATTCTGATTCGGATACATAGGAACATCAACTGGTCTGTCAACCAGCAAACTTGCCTCCTCTAGCATATCAAGTACATATTTCCTCTGAGATAAACAAATACCTTGTTTAGATCTCGCAACTTCAATTCCAAAAAAATATGAGCTTTCCTAAGTCCTTAGTATGACATTAGTCTTGCCGAAAGATTTTCAACTTAGCAATTCTGTCAGAATTATTTTCAGTAATCACAATATCATTTATATAAATCTCTAATATAACATATTCGGCATCCGTCTGTCTATGAAACACAGAATGATCTGTCTGACATCGAAGAAGGTCAAACTCTAAAACTACATCTGAAAACCTACCAAACCATGCCCTCGGTGACTGCTTCAAACAATACAGAGACTTCTTTAACTGATATACATGCTTACAGTACTCCTCTGAACAGTAAACCCAGGTGGCTGCTCCATGTAGACCTCTTCAACCAAGTCACCATGCAAGAAGACATTCTTGACACCTAACTGAAATAAGGATTAATTAAGATTCGCAGTTAAAGAAATCAATATACGAACAGAAGAGATTTTGGCAACAAAAGAGAAAGTCTCTTCATAATCAACCTCATAGATCTGAGTAAAGTCCTTAGCAACAAGACGGGCTTTGAGATGCTCCACAGAACCATCCGAACAATATATACCCAACGACATCCCACAGTCCGTTTATCAAGAGGTAAAAAAACAAGATCCCAAGTCCCATTATGATGTAAGGTATCTATCTCTACCTCCATAACTTTCCTCCAATCCGGGTCAGACAACGATCCTGTAAATGCTTACAAGTAGAGATGGTAGGCAGTTGAGAGATAAAACAAGAAAAAACCGGAAACAAGGCATCCTAAGAAACAAAAATGAGTAATGTGATGATTAGTAACACACGAACGGGTGCCCTTCTAAAGAGCAATAGGTAAAGAGTCAAAAGTACCTAATGCACCAAGATCAGGAGACAGCAAGGGAGACGATACGGGCACTTTAGTCGATGGTCGAGGACAATGAGAATATCTAGAGTGGAGAAGTAGGTGGTTGCATAGTGGGTAGCAGAATATCTAACGATATAGGAAGGGGTGGTGGTATAAGGGACAACCCAAAATCCAAATCCAAAGGTCGAGCAGATGGCAAAAAATACAGATCCGATTCTTCAAAAGTGACATCAGTACTAGTAAAGTACCGACAAAGAAAAGGACTATAGCAGCGATATCCCCTTTGTGTGCGAGAGTATCCTAGAAAGGCACATTTGGTGGCACGAGAGTCAAGTTTATCAAACTCAAGGCGTCATACCCAAAAACCTTACGAGTTAAAGAAAATAAGGGCTTATCCGGAGAATATAGACTTTGCCCATTTAATACAGACAATGGCATACGATTAATAAGATAACAAGCAATAAGAACATCATCACTCCAAAAACAATTGGGAACATTCATCTAGAATAACTGGGCATGAGCGACTTATAATAGATGCCGATTTTTACGCTCAGCAACACCATTCTGCTGAGAATAACGTCAGTTTTACTATGATAAGCTGAAAAGGGATCAGATTCATATTCTTGAGCATTATCAGAACGTAAAATACAAATGCACAACTATACTGGATTTTTATTTCTTTACGAAAAATCTCAAATATTGAGAATAATTCAGAATGAGCTTTCATAAGAAACAACCAGACCACACGAGAATAATCATCTACAAATGACACAAAATAAGGATATTTATTAGAAGAAATATTCTTTATTGGACCCCATACATCAAAATATACTAACTCAAATGGACTAGTCACACGATTATTGCTTCTAGACTGAAAGGACACACGGTGATGCCTATTAAGTTAACAAGCTTCACAAAACACTGACGACACATAACTCAGACTAGGAACTTGACACTTCAAATTCTGGAGAGAGAGATGACCAAGATGACAATGCCATTGGAACGGAGATGATGAGGTCTATAAAGCATGAGTAGATGAATCAAAGTCAAAGTAATAAAAACCACCAACTTCATGCCCCGTACCAATCTTCCTCTTCATCTTGAGATCCTGAACACACAAGAAGATGAATAAAAGATTACGGAACAATTAAGAGAACGTGTAATCTTACTAATGGAAAGTAAAATAAAAAAAAACTTTGGAACAAATAACAAGGAAGAGAGAGACATATTAGAACTCAATTGAGTAGTCCCCAAACCTGAAACTTTAGAAGAAGTACCATTAGTATGAGTAACACTATGTGTGGAAGAAGTAAATTGATAGGTAGAAAAGACATCAGACGAACCAGTCATGTGATCAGAAACGTCAGAGTCTATGATTCAAGGACTGCGAGTGAAAGACAAGAAACAAGTGAAAGCAGTACCTTACTGAGCAAAAGTAGCACTGGAGGAAATGGAACGACCTGTTGTTAAGACATGAACTGAGCATACTCCCCCCGTATAAGAGTAACTGACCCAGAATCAAGTGGAGCGAACCGAGGTATAGAGGAAGTAATCAAGGTGTCATCCTGATTAA